ATAAAATGATAAAATTACCGAACGAATGCCTTTTCGAAATATTTAATAACCTTCAAACTTATCGTGGAAGCTTATTTTCATGCCTTCTTGTAAATCGTCAATGGTGCAGAATTATTGTACCAATATTATGGAGCGATCCATCTGTTTATTTCAAAGATAGACGACTTATCAAAATATGTCTTTTGACATTAAACGCTGAAGAACAAGCATTGTTAATTCCATTTAATATAGCACTTCCGAATAATTCAGAATTGTTATTTAAATACACAAGTCATATTACATCTATTGACAACTATTTGAAACAAGGAATCGAAAATTGGCTAAATTATGAAGAATACAAAGTGGACAAACCTTGGGATTCAGTACTTATTAAAGAAGACGAGTCTGTGAATGCCATTAAATGTTCATTAATTGCAATGTTTCTACGAACAAGTAAGAAACTTAAATGCTTAAGCATTGACGGAATTATTTATGATAATATAGCAGAATTATTGAGTGAATTTCTTTATAGATGTACAACAATTGTTTCTTTGGAACTTTATGATAATTGCCTTGGTTTTGAGGGAATAAAAATATTAGCAGGAGCACTTTGTAAAAATACGTCTTTAACAACCTTGAATTTTAAATATAGCCAACTTGATTCTGAAGAAGAAAGACTCATTGCGGAGGCTCTTTGCAAAAATACTACTATAAACATCTTAAATTTTAAGTGTAATCAACTTGGTCATGAAGGAGGGAAATTTTTTATAGAGGCTCTTTGTAAAAATGCTGCTATAACATCATTAGATTTTAGTAGTAATGAAATTGGATTTGAAGAAGGAAAAGCATTTGCGGATGTTCTTTATAAAAATTCCACTTTAACTTCCCTAAATTTTGGATATAATCAACTTGGTTCTGAAGGCGGAAAACTATTTGCAAAAGCTCTTTGCGAAAACGCTACATTAACTTCTTTAGATCTTTGTTACAATCAACTTGATTTTGAAGTGGGTGAAGCACTTGCGGAAGCTCTTTATAAAAACAAGACACTGGCTTCTCTTAATTTTGGATATAACCACCTTGGTTCTGCTGGTGGTAAAGTGTTAGCAAAAGCTCTATGCAAAAACACTACTCTAAATTCTTTAAATCTTTACTGGAATCAACTCAGTTCTGAGGGTGGGAAAGCATTAGCAGAGGCCCTTTGTATGAACACTACTTTAACATCTTTACGTCTTGATTATAACCAGCTCGGTTTTGAAGGAGGAAAAGCGATAGCAGAGGCACTTTACGTGAACACTACTTTAACACATTTAAATCTTTCTAGCGATCACCTTGGACCTAAAGGAGGATTAATATTAGCATCGGCTCTCTCAAAAAATAATACGTTGATATCTTTAAATCTTAGTGATAATGAAATTGGTTTTATCGGAGGAAAAGCATTGGCTGAAGCTCTTTGCGTGAACACTACTCTGACTTCTTTAAATCTTTATGGGAATCTGCTTGGATCTAAAATAGGAAAAGTATTATCAGAAGCTCTTTGTAGAAACACTACTTTAACTTCTTTAGATCTTGGTGATAACGAAATTGGACCTGAAGGAGGGAAAACATTAGCTGAAGCTCTATATGTGAATACTACTCTAACATCTTTAAATCTTTATTTTAATCAACTTGGTTCCGAAGGAGGAAAAGCGCTAGGAGAGGCTCTTTCAAAAAATGTCTCATTATTATCCTTAAATCTTGGTAAAAATAGAATTGGCTTTGAAGGAGGCAAAGCATTAGCAGCAGCTCTCCGTGTAAATACTACTATGACTTTTTTATATCTTTATGAAAATATATTTAGTTGTGAAGAAATAAAAACACTAAAAAAAACACTTTATGTAAATACCACTTTAGAATCGTTGGAAATTTAAAATAGATATCAAATATGTAAAAGACAGCAACAAAATGTGTAGATCGGAGAAGAATAGAATCAACAGAAATAGTAGAATTAATAGATCAAGTGGAATTAATAAAAGCATATAACAGAAGGCGCTTTCGACCTTCACAAAAAGGAAATTATTGTTTGTAATCATTAGATATTGTTATTAAAGAGTTTGGCCAAAACCTTGGTCGGAATTACAGCTGACGCTAATCTAATACCGGCTAACTTGTCAGGATTCTGCTTGTCTAGATTTTGGCAAGCTCCCGTTATTAAAACTTTATAACTTTTATGTAAAGTCAACAAGCGACAAAAGTTTTTTTGTGTTACAATGACGGATTTTTATTTTCTGTGATGTAAAAGTTAATATAATAGAACAAAATAAAGAAACAAAATTTTATAAAAAATGTATTAGATGAATAAGAAATAGTAGGCACATGCGTATCTGGTATAATATGCAAGTATTACGTGCACTGAGTTTATATTTAAATGAGGAACTCATAAACAAACATGGAAATCGGTTATTTATAAATAAGGATTCACTCAAAAATAACTTCTACAATTTCAAGACACGTGGATATTATAGTGTGAGCTATGAAAACGTGATCCCGGAAGCACGTGGAAGGGATGATCAATGTGGCGCAGTAGCAATTAACGATCATCTACCTAATATGGGTTCCCGGGATTAACGGTCCTAAAAGTCGTTTAAAACTATTAGTGGGTATAAAGGTAATAAGAGTAATAAGGGAAATAGAAGAAAACTATAATTAATGGCTTATATAATAATTAAGGGCTTTAAGTAATATAGCACATTAAAGGGGTATATTACGGATAATATGTTTAATATGTTTAATATCTTTAGGAATGCATATATAATAAAGGCTTTGAGCCCTACAAGAACAGTCAGCTCGTGCATATCATAAAATTTGCTTCTAATAATTCCCTGCTTTCATTACATTATAATACCTACAATCATAAATACCCAACTTGACAAATCTAACACGCATTTTATCGACTTAGCCGACTCGTAGGTTACACGTAGTGCTCCGATCGGGTTGACCCGAATGACCCGAAACCAACCCGGTTATAATGAATTTACTATATGGGTCATGACCCATCTAATAAATTTATTATAACCGGGTTGGTTTCGGGTCATTCGGGTCAACCCGATCGGAGTACTAGTTACACGACATATCCAATTGAGAAGCGACTGACTCACCTGTCAATAGATACAGAGTTATAATATCACTTAGTTATATCCATATTAGTGTTGCTGCATAACCCAAACTTTCTCCGGGAACTCGTAAACCTAGTTTCAAAAGTAATGGCCGAAACTGGGCGAACTAGAAATTTCCCGATATGTAATTAAAATTGATCAACATAGAGTTAGCCTAAGTTTAGCATGCGCCAACAAAATTTCACTGTCACGTGATGACAAGCAAATTTTATTATGTTTGGGTTAGGGGCTAAAATTTAGCATACTACTTGTAAAATTTCTCAATAATAACTTTATTTTAGTGCGCTTCTTATGCGAATTTTCGAGAAATAATCAGTTTTTCAAAACGGTTATTTGTTTTAAATTTCATGATTGTTTTTAGAGAGTTGTTTTAAAATTTTAAATTAAAATATCTCAACAACTATTTAGCTAAACTTGATAAATTTTTGTTATTTTAATTCTATATCTATATGAAATTAAAAACAAAAAAAAAATTATCAAGTTTGGTTTAATAATTGTTGAGATATTTTACTTTAAAGTTTTAAAACAATTTACTTGAAAACAATTTGCTTGGTACCTCCCATTTGCTAACTTCTGTCGATCAACACGTGACAGTAAAAATTTTATTAGTGTTTTGTTGAGTAATTGGCTTTAGACGACCCCAAAAATTAAGGACGTCTAAATCATAGGAAACTATATTTCTTATTAATTTTTTCAATTATCTTTAGAGTTAGGGCAACTTTAGGTTTGTTAGAGGTATTTTTATAAGTAAAATCGGTGTGTGCACTTATTTGTGCAAGTGATACAAATCCATAAAGGGAAATTAGCCAATTGAGAACGTAATTACCCCAGATCGGCTAGAGATGTTGTATATTGTGATAGTGAAATTTGTTACACTACTTGAAACTAGTTTAGTGAGACTTTGGGTTTGATATTAATTTCTGCACTGTTGTTATTTTGAATTTCTCTACTAATATCAACTAGTATAATTTTCTATTATTTAAGTGCATTTGAGTTTTATTCAACTTCGGTTCGAAATTTTGGTGTTACATGTCACAGAATCATAATTTAAATACAGTTGCATATTGTTACGGTGGTAACGTGAGGAAGGTGTGACGATAGGAAGTGCGCCTTTAATTGTAAATAGAATTTTCTAAATATGTAAATACTTACCCTTTTGTAATCGAAGATTGTAACCGAATTAGTATACTCGTACCCAGGTCCTGTAATAATCTTTAGTGTTGAAATTATGAATCACTGAAACTGAGTAGCAATAGTATTAGCGAACGAAACTACTAGTTTCATAGATCAAAAAGTTCGATTATCGTACCTCCTAATATTTTGTAAGGTATAAAAGAAGGGCCTTCGAGCCTTTAATAAAGTTGTTAGTCTTCGATGTCTTAAATTGTTAGAATAGAAGAATCGATTTCTCAAGTGTTTGAATAAATTTTGTTGTTATATTTTAAAAAACTGTTGAATAACCCTTATATTGAAAAATCCGTTAAATTTTTTTTAGTATTTCTAAGTATCGTAATAATTTGTTATTGCTATATTAACTTATTAATTAGTTGCCCCTTTATTAATTACATCAGTTACGTCACTTAACCGATCCGATAAAATAAATTTATTACATAAGAGTGACTATCACTTAAATTGATTAGTAACCCGATCCCACATAAATTAGTTAACCGACCCTGATATGTTACCGATCCATGTGAAAAAGCCACCCTACTGATAGTACTCTATTACCCTACTCGTAATATCATTTTATTAAGGTTCGCTATTGGAGTTAAATTGGACGAAATATTTGATACAGCTCTTCCAAACAATAGTAACATTTGGTGCTGATTGTGTGGATTGAATAATAAAGATTTTATTTTTTTACAATAAATGGTTCAAGGTCTGATGCAAGCATTAGCAATGCAGATTGCAGCTTTAGTACAGCAATTGCAAGGTGCACCACCCATGCAAGTGAATGTTCCTGGGGCCAATTGAAAATTAAGTACTGTCCCCTATCAAGATTTTTATGAAGGTTATCAAGACCCAATTACCTGGCTTGAAGACATAGAGAAGGCATTTGATGCAAACATGGTCTCTGACAATTGAAAGATTTTAGTGATAGTTTCAAAATTGAAGGGACCAGTGGCAAATTAGTGGATTATATAAATAATACAACATCCTGTTATCAATCAATAATATGATTCTAATGTTCTTGCTTCAAGTTTTACTTCTAATTTTATCATCAAATTTTAAATACCTGAATTAAAGATCAAATAATTTGCTCAATTGACTTAATGAAAACAATTACTTGAAGAAACTATTGATAATTATCATATCTTCATTGAAGAAATGATTAGAAGAGTTGAATTGAAAGAGCATTAATATTCTAATACTACAAAGGCTCAAATGTTTATAAATAGATTACACTCTAAACTTTATATGACAGTGTTCTTATTAACTTCTAATACATTTGAAGATGCTTACACTAAAATAAAAGTTTTTAAAAATATGTATAGAAATAATTCCACACATATGGTTTTTATGGCTCAACCTATAGAATATCAAACATATCTACTTCAAAAAATGGTTGGTATCTCAGTTGTCATTCTGATGAATTATAATAAAATAAGAGGTTTTACTTAAATTAACAGAAACCATCAATAAAATAATAACTCAGTATTAAGATCAAAAGAAGTTTCTGTAACCATAACAAGGTGGTTCTAACATGAATTCAGAAATAATTTGTTTTACTTATAGATAACCTGAACATATTAGTTATCAGTATCCTAATATTCAGAATAATAATAATAATTGAGAGTTACTATTTTTACCCTTCATTTTTGTTAATGTCATCCTTTATAAGATTGGAGCCAGCATCTGGCCTGCAGCACATGATTTCAAAGTTGATGTGTAGGTCATATGATACAAATTGTTTGTGAATTGTTCCAAAATTTTTAAGTAGCATGAGCATGTATCACATAATCAATATAATATTTTTTCATTATAGAACAATATTTATCTGATCAGTTGATGTAGATTAATTGACCAGATAACTTATTTATATACTTTAAAGTATTTTTTAGGAATATAATATTTTATTAATAAAAAAATTACTGTAAAAGTAAATCCTAGTTTTAAAAAGAATATATATTTTTACTATATACTTAAATATATATTGCTAATACTAGTTATGTTATATAACTATATGAATAAAAGTATCAGTATCTTAATAATATTAATATTTGTAATAATATTAGATGTCTACTAAATTTTGCTAGTAGGTTTGAATAATGTATAAAATTAGACATACAGCAAAGATCATTAATGTTACATGTATATTGAAACTAGTGAAAGATTATATCTATCACAATTGAATTCAATATAAATAATTTAATTTGTGATTGATCATAGGCAAGAAAGATTTACTTTAAATTAAAAACTGTCATTACTGTAGATTAGATATACTGTGATCAAGGATTATTGATAGCCAGCCAAAATTTTTTAGAATTTGTTTCTTACTATTGAAACTAGTAGTGGATAATGCATTTATATGATTCTAATTGTTATATGCCAATACTTATAAAAAATTAAAAATAGATCATTGATTTTTATATATTGTACTATATGACAATTAGTATTATATAGTTGTATCATTATTACTAATTGAAGCTAGTACACTTCATTAAGCATTAAATTTGATATTTATTTTTAATCTTAGTCAAACACACAATCCTACTTTAAAACATGTAAATATTAATTTGCTTAATAATAAGAAAAAAAATAAAGAAATATAAATCACATAAGTCTTAGTTAAATGTTTATATTTCCAAATTAGCTATTATATAGTACTACTAAGAGAAAACATGTCATTTGGTACTCAATTATATTTTGTATACAGTTAGCTGTCTGTAGAGATTTTCTATAAAGGTTAATTGTACACAAAATATAATTGAATATCTAATTACAGGTTTTCTTTTGTCAGCATTTATAAATTGAATTTCTTAGCAATCTGCACTAAAATCTACTTTAATGTATTTCTAAATCTTTAACACAGTTATACTTTTGAAATTATTTGAAAACATGTTTTATAGAAGTTTTGCTAACATTTAAATATTTAGCAATTATATTAACCAACAAGACTTCTAAGTTCTTTTCAACTATTTTTCAACAAGTATATTTTAAAAGTATCATATTTGTTAATGAATTTAAAAATAAATATTTATTTAACTAGTATACAAGTATTATGCATTTATATATATTATGTAATACCAAAATAAATAACTTATTAGTTTTGACTGAATAGACTTCAGTAAATTTTTTAGAGTGGCCTAAGATATAGTTGTCATCTAAATAATTAATACTTTTTATTCAAACCTTAAGTGCTTTATCTTTAATTGATAATTTGCCAATCATTTTAATAAAGATTACAGTATAATATAATGCAAATTATTATATAATTTACTATAGACTAAAATGTAGCATACACCTATTTAAAGCTTTTTTAGTACTAAGTTAACAGTCCAAGTCAATTAATTGAAGTTATAAGCTCACTAAGATGCATCTAATAACAGTTAGATTATTTAAATTGGCCTAGTAGATGTCAAGATATTATTAAAAAACAATTAGCCAACTATGTAAAATTTTATTTAAACAAACTATTGTTTATAAAAATATTTTACATAGTTAATTAATCAATTTTTGACAATATCTTAGCATCTACTAAACTGATTGAATGATCTAACCATTATTAGATGCACCTTAATAAGCTTTACAATTTCAATTAATAGACTTGGACTGTTAACTTAGTACTAAAAAAAGTTTTAAATAGGCACATGCTATATTTTAGTTTATAATAAATTATATAGTAATCTGCATTAAATTATACTATAATCTTTGTTCAGATGACTGGTAGATTATCAATTAATTTTGTTTTAAATCTTAATTTATAAGTTTAAAACTAAATAGGTTTCAAACTTGTTTCAATCTCCAAACTTGTTCTAAATCCCAAACTATTTAAATTTTAATATTATTTCAAGTTTGGTAAAACCAATTCTAAATTCTAAACTTGTCTCAAATTCTAAACTTATATTAAATCCCAAATCTATTTCAAATTTTAAACTTGTCTTAATGTTTAAACTTATATTAAATTCTAAATCTATTTGAATGCATAAAAGAAAAGTTTAAAACCAAATTATAATAAATTATTTAATTAGTTTTTAGGTTTTATTCTTATATACTTATTTCAAATTTTGAATCTAAATATATTATAGTTAATACTAGCACTAGAAACTAATATAAATTCAAATTATAAATATAAAAAAATAGGTTGTAAAGTTTTACAATTTTATTAGCATTTTTAGTATTACAATTTTATTAGCATTTTTAATATTATAATTTTATTTTAAATATTACAATTCTATTTTAATTAGTATTATTTAACATTATATCTTATTAAATTCTGTTATTTTGTAATTAATTTTTTCTTCAGTTTTTTGTTCTAAATTCAGATTATCTACAACTGAAGTAATATTAATAATTTTTTTAAGATTAAATCTGTATTACTTAATAAAATATCTATTTTAATAAAGTTTTTACTTCTATTTTACTTTCTTTATCATCAAACATATCAGTTTTAGCAAATATTGCATGAAAAATATTTGCTATTATATTTATCAATTTTTTATCTGAAAGATTTTAATCAATATAATTAAGTTTGTTTACTGCATTTAGAGGTATAAAAAAAATGAATTTGTGCTATATTATTTAGTCAATCTATATCAAATTTATAAAAATATATTTATTAGAATATATTAAATATATTTCAAATAAGTTTACCTATTTTAGCATTTTTGAATTATCTAAATTAAAACAAAGAAAACATATTTACATGATACTTAATAAGGTATAATTGCCAATATTTTTAGTAATAGTTTTTAAATATAATTATTTTCTAATTAACAAACATCTACCAACTTTGTAGAAATGAATTAAATAAATTAAATACAAAGTTATAAAAATGTTTATTTTGTTTATATGAGGCTATTTGTATTAAAAGTAATGTACTACTATATTTTTCTTTTTTTCTTTTTATCCAAATTGATAATGCTGTATAATAGTTTTTATAAAAAACTTTTAACAAAAGTTCTTTTCTAAAATTAAATATAATTAATATTTATATTATTAAAATTAATTTAATATCAAATACTAACTATAAAAATATGAAAAAAAATATCTCAAAAGAAATATATTTATATTAATTTTTTTTATTAACAATTATATATATTAATGCATAAATTTTAAATTCAAAATTTTGAAAGTTCAAAAGTTCTTTAATAGTATGTGCTATTTTTATAAGTTCAATAAATACTGATATAAGTATTGCTGATTTAGATTTAATGCTATTTATAGCTTGTTTTGCAGTTTCTAAATTCTACTAAGTTGCTTAATATTAATCTAAAATTGTTAATTGGAAATTATTTTAATTATTTCAGTATTTTCAAAAAGTTTATAATTTTTCCAACAGTTTTAAAAAAATTATAATTAGCATTAATAAAAATATAGTATTGTAATTTGAATTTTATAAATATTAGTACAATACTTACTAATTTAATTGCTATTTTGTATTTTAAAATTGAGGTTATACAGTTCTATGCTGTTAACTAACATGTTTTGCAAGATAATTTTAAACCTCTACCAAATATAACATTTTTAATTAATTCTTTTCTAAATGTAGCACTAGTATGATTTACTTTTTGAAAATATTTAATTATTATTTAACATTTAGATAAATTAATCTTTGCAAATTTTATTTTAATAATATTTAAAATAATTAAATTTAATAAATATGTAATACAACATATTTACAAAATTAATTAATATTTTGAACTAATTAACTTTGTAGCTAATTGCATTAATGCATCTCTATTTGTAACAATTGCAGAAAATTCTGTAATTTCAATTTCTTTAATAATTTCATTAATTTTACTAGTATTAAAAAATTCAGTATATGTCTTATCAGATATGTCACAAATATTGTTTTTGTTGAGATGTAATTAAAACAATAGTATATATTGAATGTTTATGTTGATTAGCCTATTTATCAATTG